AGTTTGGGATTTTGACCCAGGAACAGCGAAAGAATAATGAAAGACTGGCAATTAGTACTGTCCCTCTTGTGAATCGTTGACGCTGCCACAACAGTATAGCAGTGGTGGAGGAGTGAAAGTTTGAGGTGGTGAAAGCGATGGTGTGTCATCTGCTTTGTCCTGGGTAGCATCAAAAGCTGCTGACAAAGCTGTCACCTTGACAGGGAGTATTCCATTCGGGTATATTTCAAGGGATTGCAAGGTGAGTCACTCACCATAGAATGTCCAGCTTCTGATCTGTTCTTGTAGCTACTGCATTTCTGTGGCAGTTCCAGTTCCATTTCTGGTCAATAGTAACCTCCAGGATGTTGATATGGAGAATTCAGTCAAAAGGAGATGGTTGGGTTGTCTTTTGTTGATGGTCATTGCCTGTCACTTTTGTGGCATAGATATTACTTGCCACTTGTCAGCCCAAACCTGGACATTGTCGAGATTTGTTGCATTTGAACATGGATTGCTTCAGTATCTGAGGAGTTGTGAATGGTGCTGGACATTGTGCAATCATTGGGGAACATCCCCACTTCTGACCTTATGATGGAGGGAAGGTCATTGATGAAGCAGCTGAATATGGTTGGACCCAGGACATTACCCTGAGGAACTCCTGCAGAGATGTCCTGGAGCTGAGATGATTGACCTCCAACAACCCCCAACCATCTTCCTGTGTGCCAGGTATATAGCGCAAGTGGAGAGATTTCCCCCAAACTTCCAACAGCTCCAGTTTTGCTAGGGCTCCTTGCAGCCTTCATGTCAAGGCAGTTATTTTCATCTCACTTCTGGAATTCAACTGTTTTATTCTGATTTGGAACAAGATTGTAATGAATTCAGGAGCTGAATGATCCTTGCGGAACCAAACTGTGTCGGTGAATTTGAGTTTTTTTCATGGAATGTGAAAAATGCTGGGCCAGCATTTATTGCCAATTCCTAGTTGCCCTCAAGGTGGTGGTCAACTAGCTGCTTTCTAGCAGTTGCAGTTCTTGGGTGTAGATAGACTAATTTAACTTTCTGGCCATCCTCCAGGATGCTGATCACGGGGTGGGGCGGAATTCAGTGAAGGTAGTGCTGTCGTTGGAGAAGCATCTGTGAAGAGACAATAAACTGCAGATGCTGGAATCCAAGGTAGACAGACAGGAGGCTGGAAGAACACAGCAAGCCAGGCAGCATCTGGAGGAAAGGAGAAGTCAACATTTTGGGTATTACCCTTCTTCAGGACTGAAGCATCTGTGAAGATGACAACCATCCTGAGCATCTCTGACACGTCCAGTTGGAGGCAAACACAAACAGTGGAACCAAACACACCGTCCGCACACCGCACCCCGCACCCCACCAGGGGCCTCTTCAGGCACGCCCTGCGACAGGGAGCCAGCATTAGACTGTCTTAATCATTTTAATCATGCTGGGACCCACGCTTCAGAGTGGAATAAAGTCGTCATCAGTCTTGAGAGTGTGTCTAAGAAGTAGTGCTTTGTTGGAGGTGGCTTTTGATGGCTGTTGAGAAACACAGTAAAAGCTCCCTCATTCTTTAAAACAGAAAGTAACACTCCTCTGCATTGTCCTTGGAGTATTTGATGGGAACAGCAGGGAGTTAGATGTACAGTAAAGCTTCCTCTGCTCTCTCTAAAATGAAAATAGAACTCTCTCTACTCTTTTAAACCAAACTTAAATTTCCATTGACGCTGTTCCTGTCAAACACAGTCAGGATAAGTACAACATGGGGTTAGATACAGAGTAAAGTTCCATTGATCTGAGGAATCCTCTGAAGTTACTATTTGACCGGGTAACGCCCGAGTTAATAAATGTTTCCAAGTGGCTTCATGACCTTATTCTTTGGTTGTAATCATACCCTGGTTGTACTGTGATGCATATACGTCATCGATTAATCAGTTATCAGTTTCCCAATGATAGTAAACTGACGGTGACTATCTGTGCTTTCATTTTCACTGGTCTCATCATTTGCATTCCACAGCTGTTTTTTAATGGTTATGTTACTAAGCTAGTAATTTAGTGGCCGGGGTTAGTCATCTAAAGAGATGAAATCTGACCTCACCATGCATTTCGTGAGCTGGACTTTAATTAAAATAAAAAGACAGTGCTGGAGAAACTCACTACTTTTTTTCGGAAGAGTTGTATCAGACTCTATTAACTCTGTACCCCTCTCCACAGATGCTGTCAGACCTGCTGAGTTTCTCCAACACTTTTCTGTTTTTATTTCAGAATTCCAGCATCTGCAGTACTTTATTTTTCTTTGAAGTTTAATTAAATCTGGAATAAAAATCTGGTGCCAGAAATCATCACCGTGCAACTACCAAGTTGTTATAGAAAGCAGCCTGATTCATTAATATCCTTAAGCAAACTAATGTTTGTGTAACTCAAGACAGCAATGAGATTGACTTTAATAATGCTCTTGGAATGGCCCAGACAATAGTTCCCTGTCACCTTTCTTAAAGGCAGTTATGCAATAAATGTTGACCTTGCCACAACGTCAATGTATGTATCTGGTGAGTGTCACAGTTCACTATGGTCATGAGGGAAATCATATTCTGTTATTCCCAGAGTCGCTTCAAAAGCTAAGAATTTTACGAAAGTACAGAGTTCCCTAATTTACCTGACCTCAATCATGATATCACTGAAATTGCCCATTTCTATCTCCATTAAATTGATCAACTTCATCTTGTTTCAGAACACTGCCACTGAGACACTCATGTCATCATTAACTGTAAACATTGTTTCATTAGTTCTGTTCCAATGCATTTACTGGCTGGTCTCTCACGCTTTACCTTTGGTAAACTAGAGGGTGTCCAGAACTTTGTCTGTTTCATAACTCAGTCTTCCTGTCACCCCTATGCATGCTGACCTAGTGTCTTGTTCAAGCAGTGTCTTGATTTTAAAATGCTTATTCTTGCTTTCAAATCTCTCCATGCCTCTCCACATCTGTTATCTTAAATCCCCTGAAATATTTGTTGTACTCTAATTCTGTTCATTCCTAATTTTAATTGCTCCAATGTTGTTGTGTCTTGAACTCTAGAATTCATTCCCTGCATCCTGCTTGTCTTGCTACTTTGCTCCCCACCACCCCCTAACAAGTCCCTCTTTCTAAACTCTCTGATCAAGCTTTTGATCATCTGTCCTCATATCTCCAAACATGGCTCAGTATTCCACTTATTTCTGTAATGCTTCTGTGAAGCCTCATGGCATCATTTATTACTTTAAAGGCTGTTTCTAAGTATAGGTTGTTGAGAGATCCGTTTACAATCTGTCCTTTCAAATTCTGCAGTGATACAGAATTACAGGATGTTGAATAAATGTTTTAAATCACCCATTTTGATTAGATACCAATTATTTGTGTCTAGCTTCAAACAGCTAAAACTTTCAAAAGGAATATTGAGCTAACGGAAACTTTACACTTGTATATAATTGTTTTTCCTGTTCTGCATTTTTTGAAGTAGAAGTTGTGCAGCTTGATCTTTCATAGAACTGCGAATACTTAACTTTTGGTTAATGGTATGTTAACTTGAAAGAAATCGGCAGCAATTTCACAGGCTTGAGATCTTCAAATGTGTGGTACCAAGTACAACTGCTGTTAGTTGCTAGGAGTCACGGATGTAATTTGAAACTATGATGTTGATCACATTGAGCAGCACTAAAACTACAGTTATAAATCTTTAACCTCGTCTCTGTTTTTCTTTAGACGTCTTGGAGTTGAACTTGGCAAAGCTGTGGTTTACCAGGAGCCGAACCGGGGTAAGGGGCTGTGTTCCCTCCTGTACACGGTGAAGTGAGGATATCTGTGTACTGCTGTAGTGTTCAGTAAATATACATGACATCTGGAGATGTAGCCTTTATATTATATAGCTTCCTTGTTTCTCCTCTGCAGTCCCCACACCTCACTCCTGTGAGAAATGGTCATTCATAGAATTCCTACAGTGTGGAAACAGGCGCTTCGGCCCAGCAAGTCTACACCTACCCTCAGAGGATCCCACCCAGACCCATACCCCAAACCTACCTAATCTAAACATCCCTGAACAGTACGGGTAATTTAGCACGGCCAATCCACCTAACCTGCACATCTTTGGACTGTGGGAGGAAACCGGAGCACCCGGAGGAAACCCACACAGACACTGGGAGAATGTGTAAACTCCACACAGACAGTCGCCTGAGGGTGGAATTGAACCCAGGTCCCTGACGCTGTGAGGCAGCAGTGCTAACCACTGTGCCACCCCAAATTCTTTGAAAATAGTTTCCTCATTTTGTGACATAGTCTGCAGGGGCCATTTTAAGTAGGATTTTCCTACTGAAATTGTGGCCTACCTATGATGTACGAGATCTGAGGGGGCAGATAGAATTCATAGTGAATTAAAATGGTTAAAAAAAAAAGCATGGGAATACAAAGTTTAAAAGTCCAGAATGAGAATAAACATGTCTATAAAGTATTCAAGTTATAGTCCTTTTCCAACAAGTGCCTGTGCCCGACGAGCTTCAAACCATGAGGTCATGCTGCCTCCACACGTCGGCCTTTGTCCGTGCCTCGCTCTGCCCCCACTCCCTGGGCCCGGCCTGTGCCTCGCCCCCTGCTCCCTGCACCTCATCTCCTTGCGTTTCACCTCCATTATCCAGGTATGATAGGGTAGTTTAAAAAGTTGGGGTGGGTGGGTGGTGTGGTTGTGGTTGCAGGGGGTTTGCGGAAGAAAAACTCCTGCAAAGAGGGGAAAAAGGACAAGAAATCGGCGAGCAGAGGAACTCCAGCTAGAGCGACTTACTCTGCCCCCATCTTGCAACTAGCAACAAATGCTGCCCAGCCAGTGATGCCCATATCCCATGAGTGAATGAAAAAAATATCAGCACAGAGGGAGAACAAAACTGAAATACCGAAGATAATGGAAATGTGAAATAAAAAAAACTGCTGAAATACAATTCTGGTGTCACTGATGGAAGGAGAGCCCTGGACTTGAAATATTAAACAGGCAAAGGCCATTCAACCCAATGTGCCTGTGTAGGCTCTTTTGAAAGAACTCTCCAGAAGGGTGCTTGTTCCAAATTATAAATCTCATCTTCAAAAAGAAACGACTTCTCCTGTCACCTTTGGTTTTTATTTTGAGCATGTTCCCTTCGAGAAGCAATCCCCTGTTGGTTCACAGACCAAACATTTTATGATTTTAAAATATGCATTGAGCCTACACATAGGAAAGCACAGACAGTAACAAAGAGCAAACCAAAATGTCACAAACTCAATTTGAGGCAACAAAGATAATGATACATCTTCTTCAAATTCTGCATATAACTGAAATCCCTCTCCTCTGGATGTTTCTCATAAATCTCCTTTGCACTGATGTGAAGTTCCAAATTGAAAATTATTGAGGTTTTAAGTGGGGTTTTCTAAAGTTTTCCTGTAGCCTCCTTGCTTTGTACCTGAAGCTTCTATGAATAAAGCTCACGACCTCTCATACATTTTCACAACCCTCCTTCGAAGATTTCTCTATGTATACCATCAGATCTTTCTTTCTACATTCCCTGAAATGTTAACCATTGGAGGCAGTGGAATGAGTTGTGCTATTAGTGCTCGGACATAGTGTACGAAGTGTGAGGATGGAGAGAAAGCTGCAATTGAGTTATATCGATGTATTTTGTATATAGACTGACACAGTATTAAACTTCAGTTACAGGTGAACCAAAGTTTCTTATTTCTCTGTATGTTGCATTACCTTCAGAAACCCGTGTGGAGATAAAAGAATCGGTTCGTGGGCAGGATATTTTCATCATACAGACCATCTCCAGGTTAGTGTTGGCTGCCTGAGTGATCAGCATTGTTCTGTGTGATGGAGGCTGTCCCTGGAGGGGGACTGGATGAGCAGCCAGTAGACAATGCAATCCTCCTGTTGTATTTCAAAATGTGACCGATTTGTAGCGGGTGGTTGGATACACATTAGTGCCTGGGCTACATGTTAACATGAGGAAAACAGGAGCCCCATATCACTTGCAGCTCTGTATGTTATAGAAACAAGCAGGCTTTGGCAACTCAACATTTCCTCATTCTGTATTCCACAGGAATTACTTGTTCTGTCTGCTTCCTCGTTTTGTAAATTACTCAGGACACTTGAGTGCACTTGGTTTAGTAGGGTCAGTAATGGTCTAAGTTTCTCCAGAGGGCACCTCTGAGAGTAGTGACTGGAGTGAGGAAGTGATGGAGGAATAGCTTAGTGTCATTATCAAATGGGGCATAGAGTACAAGAGCAAAGAAGTGCTGTTGAACTTATACAAGACATTTGTTAGACCTCAGCTGGAGTACTGTGTACCGCTGTGGGCACCACGTTATGGGAAAGAAGTGAACGTATTAGAAAGAGTGCAGATTCACAATAGTGGCTCAAGGGATGAGAAACTTCAGTTATGAGGACAGATTGAAGAAGTTGGGACTGTTCTCTTTGGAGAGAGAAATGATGAGCGGAGATCTAGTAGACGTTTTCAAAATCATGAATGAGCTGAGCAGAGTCAATACAGAGAAGCTGTTCCTGCTCACAAAAGAATTTTTAAAAAATGAGGGGGCATGGATTTGAAGTGATAGAATTATAAAAAATAGGAGCAGGAGTAGGCCATTTGGCTGTTAGAGCCTGCTTCACCATTCAATATGATCATGGCTGATCATTAAGCTCAGTATCCAAACCCCAACCTCCAAACCTCTCCATGAGCACCTCACCACCCCCTGCCCCGCCAAACCTGGCCCCCAATGTCACTAGCTCTCTTTAGCCAAAATAGCTACATCTACCACCTCCTTAAACACTTTCTGTGGGAGTGAATTCCACAGGCTCACCACTCTCTAAGTGGAAAAAATTGCTCCTAATCTCAGTCCTAAAAGATTTGCATCTTATCCTTTTAAACTATGACCCCTGGTTGTGGACTCCCCACCATCAGCAATATTCTTCCTGTATCTAATCCTGTTAGAAACCTATAAAATTCTAAGATCACCCCTTATCCAGTGAATACAATCCTAATGACTCATTCTGGATACTGAGAGGCCTGGATAGAGTGAATGTGGAGAAGATGTTTTCACTTGTAGGAGAGACTAGAACCTGAGGGCACAGCCTCCGAGGAAGGGGACAACCCTTTAGAACTGAGATCAGGAGGGATTTCTTCAGCCAAAGGGTGGGGAATCTGTGGAATTCGTCGCAGAGTTCAAGTCATTGCGAGTAGTTAAGACATAAGTTCTTGATTAGTAAGGGGGATCAAGGGTAATGGGGAGAAGGCAGGAGAATGGGGTTGAAAAATGTATCAGCCAAGATCAAAATGTCTAATTCTGCTCCTGTATGTTCTTGTTTGATGGTCAAAACTTACCTCATACATCAGTCTGATAGACATTTTACTACACTCCCTGTACAGGCAACATATCCATCCTTCCTCAGATAAGGAGACCAAAACTGCGCACAGTACTCCTGGTGTGGCCTTACTGATGCTCTGTATAATTGCAGTAAGACATCCTTGTTTCTGTACATGAATCTTATTACTGCCTTCTACTATCGGCTGCATGAGGGACCCAAGTTTTGTTAAAAATTCCCCTTTCTTAATTTACAGCCATTCAGATAATTACCTCTTCATATTTTTGCTCCCAAGGTGGATAACCTTGCATTTATCTACATTATACTGCATCTGCCTTGCATTTGCCCACTCGCTCAACCTGGCCAAATCTCACTCATTTCTGCATCCTGATCACGTATTACCTTCCTACCCAGCTTTGAGTCATCTGCATCTTCACATATTACATTTAATTCCCTTGCCTTAATCATCAATATATTCTTGTGAACAGCAGGGGTCCTAGTATTGATCCCTGCAGTACCCACTAGTTACTGCTTGCCACTCAGAAAATGATCCACTTATTCCTACTGTTTCTTGTTTGCCAGCCAGTGCTCTATCCATCTCGATACACTCCCAATCCCACGCATCTCAGTTTTACATGCTAGTCTGTTCTGTGGTTTGTCAAGCCTTCTGAAAGTCCAAACTGATGTGTTAATGAAGCAAAGGTGATTTGAGAAAAAACGTTTTAACACAATGAGTAGTTAAGGTTAGAATGCATTGTGTGGAAATGGTGATAGAGGTAGGTTCGATTGAGGCATCCACGAGGGCATTGTATGATTATTTGGATGGTACAGGTTTAGAGGGATGTAGGGAAAAGCAGAAGATTGGCATTAGGTAATAGAACTGGTGTGGGCATGATGGGCCAGATGGCCGCCACCGGTGATAAATTTGCCATTTCTGCAATGTTGAGATGAGGCACTTCCCCTTTACTTGTGTCTCTCTGTAATGTACACTGCACCACACATGTCTGGGATGTGTTTCTTCTCTTGGCCCAATAAATTATTTTAATAGTGGAAACCTAAAACAAGATCTGGTCACTGATAAACGTGAGCAGTGTCGTGGAATAAAACGCAAACTCGCAAGTCAGGAACAGTGGCAACGTTGAGGACTGAATAGACATAGAAGCTCCTAATATATTCATTTTAAAAAGGGATGCAAATACATAGCTCATGCTTTCCTTATCTTTCCCTGCTCAGACTACAAATCTTTGCGTCTCCCAATCACTGGAGAATTGGTAAACGTGAACTGTTTACGAATCTACCAGTTAGAGGCTGCTGTTATCTGCTTGTATGTTGAACCAATTTTATAATCAGTTTAATGCTGAAAGGAACAAGAGAGTTTTTGGGCAGCTTCAAAGGAGCTTACTCAGCATGACACTTTTCACATGGTGGCAGAGACTCTCGAGCTGAAGGCAGCTTAAAATCCTGCAGCGAGATTGAGAGTTTCTGTAGGGGATGGACTAAACAGCTTCCCTCCATTCAGAATCCAGCAAAGGAAGACTGGAATATAAAAACTGACAATAAAAATTTCTTTAAATATAAAGGAAAGAAGCAACGGGTCGAAAGTGCACATAGGCCCCTTCAAAAATGAATCTGAAGGGATGGTTTTGAGGAACAAGGAAATGGTAGTGGAGTTAAACAGATATTTTGCATCTTTACAGCGGAAGATGCTTTGAACATTCCATTTAGTACTAAAGGATATGGGGGGAGGAATGAAGTACTAAAGGATACGGGTGGGGTGGGGTGGGGGGAAGGAATGATGTACTAAAGGATACGGGGCGGGGGGGTGCAGGGGGAAGGAATGAAGTACTAAAGGATACGGGCGGGTGAGGAATGAAGTACTAAAGAATAAAGTACTATCACCATCACTACAGAAGTCATATCAGACAAACTAATGGGGCTTCAGGCAGATAAGTCCCCTGGCCCTGATGGCTTGTATTCTAGGATCCTAAATGAAGTAGCTGCAGAGATACTGGATGCATTGGATATAATTTTCCAGAAATTCCTGGACTCTAGATAAGTACCAAAGATTGGAAAACTGCTAACGTGACGGACGTTAAAAGGGACGGACACAAAAAGCACATGATGAAGTCTGATTAGTCTAACATCTGTCGTTGGAGAATTATTAGAATCAATTATTAAGGAAGTAATAGCAGAACATTTGGAAAATTGTAATCTCATCAAGCAGAGTCGACATGGCTTAGTTAAAGGCAAATGATATCTGACTTGTACAAGTAAAAGTAGGGCCTTGGGTAGTGTTGTAGAACAGAGAAACCTAGGGGTCAGGTAAAAAATTCTTTGAAGTTTGCATCACACATAGACAGGATGGTTAAGAACGCAAATAGCACACTTGCCTTCATTACCCAGTCCTTTGAGTATAAGCGTTGGGACGTTATATTGAGGTTGTGAAGCATGTTAGTGAGGCTTCTTCTGGAGTTGCTGGAGAGGGTTCAGAAGAGTTTTCCCAGGATGTTGCTGGGAATGGTGGATTTAAGTTATGAGGAGAGGCTGGATAGGCTGGGACTTTTTTTCTACAGAGCATAAAAGGTTGAGAGGTCACTTTTTAAGAGGTTTATAAAGTCATGAGGGGTATTGATAAGGTGCATGGCAGGTCTCTCTTCCCCAGGGTGGGGGAGTTCAGGATTAGGGGACATATTTTTAAGGTGAAAGAAGAAAGATGTTAAAAAAGGCCTGCGGGGCAATTTTTGTTTTTAACACTGGGTGGTTCGTGTGTGGAATGAACTTCGAGGGAATGGTGGATGCGGGTACAGTTACACTGTTTAAAAGGCACTTAAATAGGTACATGAATAAGAAGTGCTTGGAGGGGTATGGGCCACGTGCAGGCAGGTGGGACCAGTTCTGAGGAGTGGTCACTGGACCTGAAATGTTAGCTCTGATTTCTCTCCACAGATGCTGCCAAACCTGCTGAGCCTTTCCAGCAATTTCTGTTTTTCTTTGGGATTAGTTTAGTTCAGGATTATGATTGGCATGGATTAGTTGTACTGAAGGGTCTCTTTCTGTGCTGTATGACTCTTAATTTACTGAGTATTCCAAGGAAGTCTCAACCAGAGTGGATACGGGGAACCAGTAGATGTGTTGTATTTGGACTTCCAGAAGGCATTCACCAAGGTATCCCTCAACAGATTAAGTTACAAGATGAGAGTCCATGGTGTTGGAGGTAGCGCATTGGCATGGATAGAGAATTGGCCAATGGACAGGAAACAATGAGTGGGGAAAAGGAGTTCTTTTTCAGTTTGGCACCCTGTGACCACTGGGGTCCCATGGGGTTCAGTGCTGGGACCACAACTGTTTACAAAATATACAAATGACTTGGAGAAGGAAGTCAATGTACTGTAGCCAAATTTGCAGATGACATAAAAACAGGTCGAAAGTCAGCTTTTAAGTGGATAGAAACAGTTTACAGACAGTTATTGATAGATTAAATGGTCAAAAAGTTGACACTGAAGTGTAATGTGGGGAAAATGTGAAGATCTTCATTTTGGAAGGAAGAAAAGAACAGTAAACGGAAGAAAGCTGCAGAAAGCTGTTACACAAAGGCACTTGGGGGGACTGGTGCACACAACACAGAAAGCTAGCACATGCGCAGCAGGCAATCAGGAAGGTTAATGAGTTGTTGGCCCTTATTTCAAGGGGTTGGGGTATAAGAGTAGGGAAGTCTTACTCCAACTGTACAAGGTGATGGTGAGACCACTTCTGGAGTACTGTGAGCAGTTTTGGTCCCGTTATTTAAGGAAAGATATTATCTCATTGGAGGCAGTTCAGACAAGGTTCACCAGGATGATCCCTAGTATGGAGGGATTGTCTTATGACAAAGGCTAAACAGGTTGACTGTATTTGAAGTTTAGAAGAATGAGCGGTGATCTCATTGAGGCATATAGGATCCTCAAAAGGCTTGACAGGGTGAATGCTGAGAGGATGTTTCCCTTCAGGGGAGAGTGTAGGACCAGAGGGCATAGTCTCAGAATAAAGGGGCACCAATTTAAGACTGAGGTAAGGATCTGTTTCTTCTCTGAGTGTTAAGTCTTTGGAATTCCTTGCTGCAGAGAGCTGTAGGGGCAGAGTGCTTTTGTATATTTAAGTCTCTGAAATGATTCTCCAACTGACCAAGAATCTGAGGGTTACAAGCAAGTGGAAGGAAAGTGGACATGAGGAATGTTAGATCCATTTGGTCGAGCAGGCTCGAGGGGCTGAATAACCTTCTGTTCCTACTACTTATGGTCTTATCTGTGCGTATATTTACCTTTTGGAAATGGTTAAATGTGATTATAACATTGGCTGGGTTGTTAGCTGAGTGAACTTAGTATGATTGCTGAAAGACGGTGAGCAGGCTAACGGGCCATTCTTTTGCAGAGATGTTAATACAGCTGTAATGGAACTACTGATCATGGCCTATGCCTGCAAAACGTCATGTGCTCGGAACATCATTGGTGTTATTCCGTACTTCCCCTACAGCAAGCAATGCAAGATGAGGAAAAGGGGCTCGATTGTGTGCAAACTGCTTGCGTGCATGCTTGCTAAAGCAGGTGAGCAATATAGGGGAGGGGCAGAATTTGTGTGGCTCTTGGTATGTTACTTCTTATGGCTAACTTTGTTGTTTACTCAGCAAAGTTATAAATTCATTAAAGTGATGATAACAATAGAGGTGGGACTGATAGTGACTGCTGCAAATAGTTGCCAATCCCTTTCTCATCTTCCATTAAATGTGGTTGTGTTTATCTCCTCATTGAGCACAAGGCAAAACCAATGCCAGGTGAAAGGGCCTGCCTGATAACCCCAAGCCTTGGACTATGTTGAAGCGGGTTCAGTTTTCCTGAATTTTTTACAGGAAGTGCTGGAGAACCTCCATAGGTATGACAGCACTTATAGTGTGAAAAACAGAGTTAATGTTTTGAGTCGAGTGATTCTTTGTCAGAACTGAAAAAGAAGAGTCACTGAACTCGACATTAATTCTGCTGAATTTGTCGAAGTTGTTTTTGTTTCAGACTTCCAGCATTCACAATTGTTTTATTTAATTTCAGTGTTTAAGGCTGTTAATTTGTTTGTTGGCAGCTTTAGACAGAGTCAGCATGGATTTAGGAAAGGGAAATCATGCTTGGCAACACTACGGACATTTTTTGAGGATTAACTAACAGTTGATAAGGCAGAGCCAGTGGATATGGTTAATTTGGATTTCAGAGGGCTTTCAGCAGTCTCACATTAGAGATTAATGTGTTAAATTAAAGCACATGGGAGATGGAGAGAGATCTGGCTGGCAGACCAAAAAAAATTAGCGAAATAAAGGGGCTTTTTCCAAATGGCAGGCACCGATTAATGCTCTGTCCTCAGCTAATCACAGTTATATATTACTGATTTCAATGTTGGATCTAAATGTAATAACTCCAAATTTGCAGATGACGCAAAGCTGAGTAAGGGGGGGTGCGGTGAGCTGTGAGGAGGATACAGAGATGCTTCGGTATGATTTGGACAAGCTGAGTGAGTGCGCAAATGCATGACAGATGCAGTATAATGTGGATAAATGTGAGGCTATCCACTTTGGGAGTAAACACAGCAAAACAGTTTATTACTTGGCTTTAAATTACAAAAGGGGAATGAGCAATGAGACTTGGGTGTCCTCGTGCACCAGTTACTGAAAGTCAGTGTGTAGGTGCAGCAGGCGGTGAAGAAGGTAAATGGGATGTTGGCCTTCATAGCGAGAAGTTTCGTGTACAGGAGCAATTATACAGGGCCTTGGTGAGACCACACCTGGAATATTGTGTACAGTTTTGATCTCCTTATCTGAGGAAGAATGTTCTTGCTAGAGAGAGTGCAGCAAAGGTTTACCAGACTGATCCCTCAGAAGGCAGGGCTGACGTGTGAGGAGAGGTTACATCAGTTAGGATTATGTTCACTGGAGTTTAGAAGAATGAAAAGGGATTTCATTGAAACCTGTAAAATTGTAACGGGTCTAGACAGGGTAGATGCAGGAAGGATGTTTCCAATGAGTGAAGAGTCCAGAACCAGGGGTCACAGTATAAGGGTATGGGGTAGGCCATTTAGGACTGAGATGAGGAGAAATCTTCACCCAAAGAGTGGTGAACCTCTGAAGTTTGCTGCTACAGTAAGTAGTCAAGACCAAAACATTGTATGATTTCAAGAAGGAGTTGGATGTAAATCTTGGGCTGAAGGGATCAAAGGTTACGGGGGGAAAAAGCAGGAACAGGGGACTGATTTGGATGATCGTATTGAACGTGGAGCAGGCTCTAAGGGCCAAATAGCCTACTCATTCTATTTTCTGTGTCTCTCTTTCTGGCCTTGGTTTGAAATTAGCTTTGAGCTTTTGATGAAACATGTGCTGTGTCCTCAGGTTTGACCCACATCATCACAATGGACTTGCATCAGAAGGAGATCCAGGGCTTCTTCAATATTCCTGTTGATAATCTTCGAGCATCACCATTTCTGCTGCAGTACATCCAGGACGAGGTGAGGATGTGAAACCGTGCCAGCTGGTGGGAATCAGTGGGCTTCTTGGGGGAGGTTCTCTAGATTCATAGCTGCTAATGAGCTGTTTCAGTCTTGATTAAACATGAAATAATTTGGTATTTGCAATGTCACCATTTTCCTAATTGTGTCTTCATCTTTACTAGGAAAATTCAGACCCTAATCCAAGTGTCCCACTGTCTACCATTGCTTTGATACAATAATTCATTCTATTTTATTTTTAAAATGTCAGAAATCACACAACACCAGGTTATGGTCCAACAGGTTTATTTGGAATCCTGCAAGCTTTCAGAGCACAGCCCCTTCATCAGGTGATGTGAGAGAGCAGGGCACACAGTCACAGAATTTATAGGCAAAGAGATCAAGGGCAGATAGATCAAAAGATCATACAACTGGTGTGAGTGAATGTCAGATGATAAGTCTCTGTAGGTGACCAAGAGCATTAGACGGTGTGTAAAGTGTTTGTGAAGTAAAAGTCAGTGCTGCACTGTCAGTGACAATCAGGCAGAGCAATAGGAATATTCAAAAGGTGACATCTCAGGTCAGACACTGAATTGTAGGTGTGAGGCTTTGTTCGGAATCTGTCTCAGAGTTTTAACCTGGAATCAGGCTGGTTTTATTACAAAAGCTGGAATTTATAAGATGCCACACGCACTGTGACTACAAATTGTGTATTATTTGAACAGATTAGAATGTATCTGCAAATAAACAAACATCTTGGATGAAATGATTCACCCCATGTGGGGGGTGGTGTGTGTGTGTGTGAGAGAGAGAGAGAGAGAGACTGTAATAAGTAATTCAAAACTGTACAAACTAAGCTAGAAAGATCATAACAATTTATCAAGGTGATGCTGTCAAAATGGGACAGTGAGGAAGATTTTACAGATACAGAAGAGTGTGGTGGGGGTCACATTGGAACACGAACCCAAGATCATGGTTGAGGCCACCTTCATGGGTATTTTTAAAAGATTCAGCATTATCTTTCAACCACTTTGCGGAAACATAGAAACATAACTTTCTTTCAAACTTACATTTTAGATAATTTATGATTAATATGTGCTCTCTGTTGATACCCCAACCAGAAAAAATAGATTTTTCCCTATTTCAGACTACAAAACAGTGACTTTCTTAAAACCTATGCTAAATTTCCCATTTGCTTTCTTTGCTCAAATGCACAATTATCTTGTTTCATAACTTTAATTCACCAGGAGGTGATCAGACTGTGAATTAATTTTCTTGGAATGTCTCTTTCAAAGTGAGGCGTCCAGAACACTGGCAAACCACTGCCTTGTACAGATTGATCATGATTTAACTACTACTGTATTCTGGCCTCTGTCAAAACTAAGCTGTACACTTGATCATGGAATATAAATCAGCCTACCTTGTATGGTGGTCCCTGCTTTTGGTGCCAAAAATTATGTCTAGGTGTGTTCTCAAAGTCTAAATTGACCACTGCCCTTTTCCTCCAGGGAAAAAAAAATTACCATTTGAAGAGAGATCTCGTGGACTGTAATGTGGGGAAAATGTGAAGCTGTTTATTTTGGGAGGGAGAGCAAAGAACACATTATTATTTAAATGGAGAAAAACTGCAGAAATCTGCAACACAAAGGGACTTGTGTACAAAGCACTGAAAGCTAGCAGGCAAGCAGGAAGGGTAATGGAATCAGAGATAGTAGGAACTGCAGATGCTGGTGAATCCGAGGCAACAAGGTGCAGGGCTGGATGAACACAGCAGGCCAAACAGCATCATAGGAGCAGAGAGGCTGACGTTTCGGGCCTAGACCCTTCATCAGAAAAGGGGGAGGGGAAGGGGGTTCTGAAATGAATAGGGAGAGAGTGGGAGGCGGATAGAAGATGGATAGAGGAGAGGATAGGTGGAGAGGAAACAAATAGGTCGAAGAGGCGGGGATGGGGCCAGTAAAGGTGAGTGTAGGTGGGGAGTTAGGGTTATGGAATGTTGGCACTTATTTCAATGGGATTGGAGTATTAGAGTAAGGAAGACTTACTACAGCTCTACGAGGTGCTGGCGACACCACATCTGGAATACCATGAGCAGTTTTGATTCTTTTGTTTAAGAAAATATAACATTTCATCAGAGCCTGTTCAGAGAAGGTTCACCAGGATGATCCCTGGTATGGAGCGATTAGCCTTTCCTCATAAGCCAAACAAGTTGAGGCTCTACTCACTGAAGTTTAGAAGCATGAGAGGTCATTTCATTGAAACACCCGTAGTTCGTAAGGGGCTTGACTGAATAAATGCTGAGAGGAAGTTTCCCCTCATGGGAGAGTTTAGAACCAGAGATCACAGTCTCAGAATAAAGGGTTGCTAATTTAAGATTGCAATGAGGAATTTCTTGCCACAGAGAGCTGTGTGGCAAAGTCCTTGTCTATATTTAAGGTTGAGATTCTTGATCAGTAAAGGAATCGAGGATCATGGAGAAGAGGCAAGAAAGTCAACGTGAGAAATGTTGGATCAGCATGAGTCTATTAAATGGCAGAGCAGGCTCAAGGGGCTGAATGGCCTCCTCCTGCTCCTACCTCTTATGGATTTTACAAAGCTGGTTTCTAGCTAAAATCATACCATCTGCTAACTTGTCGAATGATTGCTGTGTTGGTGGACCTCAGTTTTAGTAAAAATGCATATCAAACTGGAAGATGATGGAATCGGCTCTGAAGAAGATACCAAATGCAACGAGGCCGAACCACCCATGAATTTTGATGTGCTCTTCGCCTGGCTGTTGGAGTAGAAAGGTTCAAAATATTCTGATGGAAACCATGGTACGAGAGGGTAAGATTGACAGTGGTACTGGGCTGCATGGCCAAACGAACACAATTAAACCCCATGCCAATTCTCAAATATAAAATACAAAACTGGCTGAGTGATAGGAAGCAATGTAACAACAATGATATTTTCATGCTGAGTGAAGTTTTGTATTTCCCCAGGTGACAGTATTGGAACCCTTGCTTTTCCTGATGTACATCAAGATCCAGATCATTAATATATAAGGGACAATTTCAAAGTTTGCAGGTGACATGAAACTTGAAAGAATTGTAAGCTATGAGGAGAACAGTTGAGGTAGGTTGGCTCACCGAGCTGGTTTGTTGTTCCGCAGATGTTTCGTTACCATGCTTGGTAACATCCTCAGTGCAGCCTCCAATGAAGCGTTGGTGTGTTTTCCCGCCTGGTTTTTAAACCCTGGAGTCTGTTGAGATGGATTGCCTCACTTCCAGTTTTCCTACATAGTGGAATGTATATGGGGTCGAGTTCAATGTGTTTATTAATAGCATGCATCATGGAGTGCCAGGCTTCTAGGAATTCTCGTGCCTGTCTCTGCCTAGCTTGTCCCAGTCGAAATGGTGATTCTCCTTGTCCATGTGGATTGAGATGAAGGAGTACTGGTCATGTCTTTTTGTAGCCAGTTAGTGTTCATGTACTCTTGTTGTTAGTTTCCTTCCTGTTTGTCCAATGTAGTGCTTCCCACAGTCTCTGCAGGGAATCTTGTAGATGACATTGGTCCTGTCCATGGCGGGGAGTGGGTCTTTAGCTCGGGTGAGCACTTGTCATAGGGTTGATGTGGGCTTGTGTGCCACTCTGATGCCCAGCGGTTGTAGGAGTCTTGTGATGAGTTCCGATTGTGTTCCTGAAGTAGGGTAGTGTGATGAGTGTGTCATATTGAACGTATTGAACTCGACCCCATATACATTCCACTATGAAGGAAAACCGGAAGTGAGGCAATCCAGCTCAATGGACCCCAGAGCTTAAAAACCAGGCGGGAGAATACACTGACGCTTCATCGGAGGCTGCACTGAGGATGTTACCAAGCACGGTAACGAAACATCTGCGATACAACAAACCAGCTTAGCGAGCCAACCAACCTCAACACCCACAACCCGAGCTACAGATCTACTCCAAAACCTTAGGACAACAGTGTGGAATTCCAAAATTTGTTGGAGGGGGTGGATAGACAGCAGATAAGGTTCAGTACAGAGAGAAGTGTGAGGTGATGCACTTTGGTAGGAAGAATATTGAACAGCAGTATAAAAGCTGGTGCAATTCGAAAGGGGCTGCATGAACGGAAGGACCTGGGTATATGTGCCCAGATCACTGAAGGTGGCGAGAGCAGTAAGTGTACAGTACACATCGGAGAAGGTTACCTCAAAATACAATAGGACCTTGATCACTTGGACTGAGTAGTGTCAGAAGGAGTTTAATCTCGATAAATACGAGGTGCTACATTTTCATAGGGCAAATCAAGGCAGGACTTATACTCTTAATGGTAAGGTCCTGGATAGTGTTGCCAAACAAAGAGACCTTGGAGTGCAAGTTCATAGGACAGTGAAGATGATGTTTGGTACACTTGCCTTTATTGGTCAGTACATTCAGTATCGGAATTGGGAGGGTTATGTTGTGGCTGTACAGGACATTGGTTAGGCCACTTTTGGAATAGTGTTCAATTCTTCTGGTCTCCCTGCTATGGGAAAGATTTTGTTAAGCTTGAAAGGGTTCAGAAAAGATTTACAAGGTTGGTGCCAGGGTTTGAGCTATAGGAACAGGCTGAATAAACTGGGGCTATTTTCCCTGGAGTGTCAGAGGCTGAGGGGTGACCTTTATAGGGGTTTATAAAATCATGACGGGCATGGATAGGGTGAATAGCCAGGTCTTTACCCCAGGGTGGGGGAGTCCAAAACTAGAGAGTATAGGTTTAAGATGAGAGGGGAAAGATTTAAAAGGGACCTAAGGAGCAACTTTTTCATGCAGAGGGTGGTGTGTGTATAGAATGAGTTGCCAGAAGAAGTGGTGGAGGCTGGTACAATTACAACATTTAAAAGGCATCTGGATGGGGTATATGAATAGGAAGGGTTTAGAGGGATATGGGCCAAATGCTGGCAAATGGGACTAGATTAATTTAGGATATCTGGTTGGCATGGACAAGTTGGACCAAAGACTCTGCATCTGTGTTATATATCTCTATGACAATGACTCTATAATAAGGGCAGAGAGCGCAAGGGCAAGGATGTGATGTTGGACCCTGTGCAAGGCACCTGTCAGACCTCTGGAGTTTTGTGAACAGTTCTAGGCAACACATCAGAGGAAAGATTTGAATGTATTGGAGAGTGTGCAGGAGCGGTTTAGAGGAATGCTTCCAGGGATGAAAAACTTAAGCTACGAGAGATTGCAGGAGTTTGGACAGTCCTTCTTGGAGAAGGGAAATCTAAGAGGAGATATGATAGACAATTTTAAAATCATGTGGGCTGGGCAGCGTAAATGGGGAGAAACTGATGCTACTTGTAAAAGAAATAAGAGGGCCTAGTTGTTGTGCAACCTGCGACAGAATCAAGGATGAAGTGGAAAAAAAGACTTTCTCTCACAATTAGTCAGAGATCTACAGCACAGAAAAAGTCCATTTGGCCCATCACACCTGCGCTGGTCAAAAGCAACCACCTAACAGTTCTAATCCTAGTTGGGTCTGGAATGAGCTGCCTTGAAATGTGGTGGAGGCATGATCAACTGAGGCATTCAAGAGGGACATTGGAAGGTTTTTCAGATGGCAATGGTGTGCAGGGATTTCGGGGGGAAGGAGGAGATTGGCACTAGGTAATGACGCCTGTTTAATGAGTGATACACCATAATACTTATGTGATTTGGTGATAAAACCAGGTGAAACATTCACTGTTGGATTGTTTTGTGCTTGGCCGTACATATCGATTAGGAGCAAGAGGAGGCCAATCAGCAAATAGAACCTGCTTTGCCATTCATTAATATCGTGGCTGATCTGTTAATGTTCCAAAATCCACATTCCCATCTATCTCCAATAGCGAGACCATACATGGAGGACTCTGTACAGTGAAGAGAAAAACTGTTAACATTTGAGCTCCGTAGCTTTTCTTCAGAATTCAAATGAAGGTGCAATGGAGTCTATGTTAACTATGTCTTTCCCTCTACAAATGCTGTCACACTTGCTGAGTTTCTCCAGCACGTTTGGTTTTGTGTTTCAGATCTCTGGCATCCACAGTTCTTTGTTTTATTAAATTAGTGTATTGTGTTGGCCACCTAATTGAAGGAAGGATATAAATCAGGTGGGAACTGTTCAGCGAAGATCTACCAGACTGGTGCCTGCAATGGATGGGTTGGCCTTGTAAGGAAAGGTTGGATAGGTTAAGTTTGGATCCGCTGGAATTTAGAATAGTAAGAGACAACTTGATTGATTTTATTTATTGTCACTTGTACCGAAAACAAACAAAGCTTTTCACTGTATTATGAGCGTTACAGGCAGATCATAGTACACAAACGATGTACAGATCAAAAAGACTTGGAGCATACAGTTTACGTTGCACAGGGCATGCGCTAGGCGAGATTAACGTTATAAGATCGGCATTATTTGAGGCTAGAGTCCATTCGTCAGTCTGATAACAGCCAGAAAGAAGCTGTTCCTGAACCTGCTTCTGCATGTCTTCAGGCTTCTGTATCTTCTGCCTGACAAAACAGGTTGTGGGAGGCCGTTACTGGGTGGGATGGGTCTTTAATGTTGGCAGCCTTCTTGTGGCAGCGAGCCATGTAAATGGAGTCCAAGGTTGACTTCCGTGATGGTCTGGGCTGTGCACACCACCTTCTGTAGTTTCTTATGGGTCTGAGCAGAGCAGTTGTCGTACCAGGCTGTTATGCACCCGGGCAGTATGCATTCAATGGTGCATCTTTAGGAGTCGGTGAGGGACCTTATGGACATGCCAAATTTCCTGAGCCACATGGTGACAAAACATCTGAACAAAAACAAGCCAGCTCGACGAGCAAGTCAATAATCTCACTCACAATCTGAACTACAGATCTCTGCCAAAACTTTAGATTCAACGTAATCTTATGATATAAAGCAAAGTCAATTTGAGGGATTGAATGGCGTAGCCCTGCAACAGGTTCATATGTTCCATTTAAATATTTGTTTCTTTGAAAAACAAACGTGCGCATAAAGTGTTTTTCTTGGTCTTTGCTTCTGAAAACAGAAGACTTAAAAATGAGGGTGAATGAAATGGTCAGTTGAGACAGCAATGTATAATTTGGAACAAATGCAAGTATATCCTGTTCTTGCTCATTGTTTGATTATAATTAATGTTTCTTGTGTAAAATTGGACTATTGCAAGAATATAAAATTTTCTAGTTTTCTCTGGGTTAATGAAGAATCTTTAGAGCACTGAAGGAGGCCACTCAACCCATTCAGTCCAGCATCTCCTGTCCTTTATGTGTTTTTTTTTAAATTCCCCCTTTAACCATCTTTCCCAAAAGACACTTATTTACTTTGACCTAACCAGTGATATCTACAAGTTTAGTGACCTTGCTGTTTAACTATATTTCTGGGGTAAAATAAGACTCCTACTGCTATTTCTGGTGGCAGGATTTGGGCTTTTATGCGCTAATGTTTTACCTAGAAATATTTTGAGAGATCCAGTATTTTAAGTCTGAGCCTGATCTCTCCAATCTGTCACAGCTTTTGATACTGGTTGGAAACAGTCTTTAAAACTGGCCCAGATAGATGATGAAGCAAGTTCAATAATTCTCACAAACTCCAGAATTTTTAAAGTTTGTTTGTTTCTTTCACAGATCCACGATTACAGAAATGCAATTATTGTTGCCAAGTCACCAGCAGCTGCCAAGAGGTAAAAATGGTTTATTCTGAAGAAGGGTCTAGGCCCAAAACGTCAGCCTTCCTGCTCCTCTGATGCTATGTTCATCCAGCTCTACACCTTGTAATCTCTTATTTTGTCGTATGCTGGTTTAGATTGTAAAATCACAGAATACTCCCCGTTCTCCTAAGGGTATCTTCCCTATTTCTGGAAGTGTCTTAATTTGCAGCTCTCCTGGGATTTTTGATCTTTGATCAAGCTTTTGATCATCTCCTGCTGTCTCCTTATGTAGCTCAGAGTCAAAGTTTGTTGATAACACTCCTGTAAGATACCTTAGAACATTTCGCACCTTGACATTCCCAGGAGGTCTAACCCATGTCAGTAGGCAGAATCAAATGTCACTTGTTGTGGAATAATCTGTGCTTAACTGTTACAAGCTGCTAGCTAATGCAACACAAATTAATGCATAAAAATTGATTTTCTGCAATAATAACTTGCAGAATGTTGGTGAGAGAATGAGATAGGGATGCCATGGAACATCTGGGATAGTTGGTCATCACCTAGTATTTTGGTGCTGAGACTGTCATTTGACACTTAGCAACCAATGATGTGATCTAACCAAAACTTTACAAGTTTGATTTACTGTTGATTCTTGTTTTTTATTGCTTAAGAAATCAATTGCTGTTCTGTCCCTTTGGGATTATTACTTTCCAAGGTGTACATGGTCTCATTATTGTTGCCAAAATGTATGTGAATTTCCAATGACTAAACAGGTCACTTGACAAGATTTTATATTTTAAATCTTTGACTATAATGAACAAACTCAGCAACATGCTCCAAACATGAGAATATAAATAGTCTGCAAACTAAACTACAGAAAAGAGGCTGCCCATTTAACTTCTAGCATGATTGAAGATCTCCTGCTATAGTTATACTTTATTAATAACTATCCCTTGTAGACATCTTTAGCCTTAATCCTGATGGCTTACTTTCTATTTTCTTCACCAACTAGGCAACTTTTTAATCTCAGAACTGGTTTTCACTGAGGATTACACAAGAAATTCATCTCCTTAGCCCAAGTTCAGTGAATCTTCAAGTTGCTTTTAAATACTCCTGAACTCAGTCTCTTCAAATTTGGCCCCAACTCCCTGCCCACATTCTTTCTGGTGAAGAATAGAGGTCAGTATTTTCTCTGGCAGGAACAAGATGAGCTTTCTGTCTCTTCCTCTGTGTCTTAAATGACTGCAGACTGATTTGTGTCTGAGTTTCAGGGATATCTTAAGATCCCTTAGGCTAATGCCATAGACTTTTCCTTTCTCAAAACTCGTCTCTGTGGAAATGTGAATCACATGAATCCTTTATCCAGGTAGAACTGTTGATTTGCTGCCATTTTCTTAATACCAAACTTCATTCTGCCTTGAAATTGCAGACCATTTAAGGTAAATAATTTATGAATCTGATATTACTAATACCTCTGTCTGAACAGAAAGTGATGGAGAAATCCAGCATTTTTATTTTAAGATTTCCAGCATCCTCAGTGTTTTGTTTTTGGGACTAACCATTTACCCAGTCAGCACAGCTGCTTTCACCGTTGTCCGTGGCTGTGAATAACTTGCACCTTCTCAGTAGGATTTTTGACTTTTGTCCCCATAACATCAAGCTACATGTGCTTGTTGTCAGGTTGGATGCAGAGGAGGTCACGAGCCCCCTTCATTCCTTCATTTTTTTTTGCCTTACATTTAAAGAGACCGTTTCAAAACGGAATAATCTTGCACATTTTATAGCAATAATAAATGTATTGGTGATTATAGATTATAATTAAAATTGGCATCTTGGCAATTATCCAGCCATTCTACAAGTTTATTAGTGGTTTCCTGTATTTTGTTGAAGACCCATGCACGCACACAAACACCCCATTTGTGGTTGCTGTAAGATTTGAAATTGGAGTTCCGATTCATGAGTTCCAATTGTTAGGGTGAAGTAAGTAGTGAAGAGCCATAGCCCCCACACTGTATCATGTGGGACACCGTGCTTCTCCACATTTACTCCTCTGAGTGACTATCCATGAACCTTTCTCTTTTCTGTCTTACCAAATAGTCTCCGCTCTATTACATGTCCTTGATTCCATATAGTTCCATTTTGACCAGTTGGTCTTGATGGCTCAGATTCTGAAATGGCCATTTCCAGCAGATATTGAGTAAACGGATTTGTAGCAGAACTCGTGAAGGGTCGAATCATTCTGATAGGAACTGACTTGGTGCACCTTGGCAGCCTGATTATTGTGTTCCTCAATTATGTTTAAAGGATTCGATTGCATTTTGTGGGATGGTGCCAGGATTCGAGATAATAGAGTGGCTGCATCTTGGATGCTACTGGTTTTTCACACAGCCCTCAGCCATTGGCTTTGTGAGCTGTTGGTGAGTAGTCAGGAGATTGGTTATAAAATATACCAACCTAGTTGTAACATCATTGCTTAATCAACTCTCAACTTAAGCCCCTGCACCAGTTCAGAGTGGCTTCCATTATCAAAGTCAGAAGGGATGCGCCTCAAGCCATATACATCTTGCAAAAGAGAAGTGTGCTTATTATTTGACATGCTGCTGTCTGACACCCTTGTCTTTCAGAGCACAATCTTATGCAGAGCGATTACGATTGGGACTGGCAGTAATACATGGAGAAGCTCAGTATGCAGAATACGATATGGTGGACGGTCGTCACTCACCTCCAGCTGTGAAGAACACGACAATACATTCTGGCTTGGAGTTACCATGTAAGAAATATACTGGATGTAATTTGTCAGGGTTGTTGCTGTTTCAAATTCTGATACAACTTCAAACATGCTGAGTACAAAGACTGAATCTAACCCCTTGGCAGTTGTATTGACGCTGTGGGTGATATTGGGAACTGTGCATATTGATAGCCTGTGCTTGCATTCAGAATCATTTGATTTTCTTCATTGACGTTGGTGATATTGCTTGGAAACTTGGCACAGAAAATTAAATTTCCAATCTGTGCATAATCTTTCATAACAGGCAGGGATGCATTGTCTAACCATTGTTGCTGTTTTATTGCTCTTACTAAAATTAATTCCAGAAAGTTTGTTTCTACGATCTCTCAGCTGTTGTCAAATATGGTTCAATACACAGCTTCTTTCCGCTTGTTCCAACCATTTGCCCCCCAAAAGGATTTTGCTTCTTCTCTTTCCTGAATGTCCTACCTCTCATGCTCTTTGTATTATATGTTTGTGCAAGAGAGCCAGCACAGGCTCACACCCTTAACACTCTCTGCACTCTCTCTCAACCACTCACTCACTCAGCAACAAACACACAGCACTGCCTTGTATATGTTTGCAGCTTCCATTTATCTTCCTGTGCTAGGTTTCTAAATGGCTTGAATCTAAGGCAGAATCCAGTTGTCATGCTGTAATTGCTGTCCTGCCTCCTCCCCCTTAACCTTAAAAATCCAAAGAACAGTGAACTAGAGTCTTCCTGGACTCTAGAGAGACTCATGTATTTGGTGACTCCAATAATTTATGATGCCCTGAAGCTGATTTGTTGGTTGTTTGTGACATTTATTGCTGACTTCACATTCACCAAAACCATCGTTTACATTCCAGGAAATTAACGGAAAATTTGGTCTCCATCAACAGACACATGTGAACCTGCCGGGTTGTCGGTTGAAATTACAAAGTGTTATTGGGAGTGGAATTTAATAGCACTCTCATCATCTGGCATATGGCAGGTTTCTGTCTATTTGAGACCATTGCTTTTAGTGCATCAGGTTATGTTGTACTGTAACTTTTTCTGTTTTGTTTTATTAATTTATGTTCTGCCTTTGTGCATTTGTGCTTTTAGCTATACATAGGCTGCAAGTTCCGTTTCCTGGCATTGAGCTTCCAAGTACGAGAGTATAATTCTTCCGTTTTACTTTTTGGCGAGGCCTGAATCTGAGATACACAGGGCTGTTTGTGATTTCCAGCTTATTAACTGCATGTGTGAATGGGCAAGCGACTTGTGAAGAGGCCTTAAGTGTCAGACTGGACAACAAGTGAAGCAGAATTTATGCACTTTTTCTAAATGTATGGAAGGACCATAGCGTTGAGTGTCCTGCTATTCAAATAAGGAATTTTCTTTTCTTTTAAAATCAAAAACACACTACCCTTACAGCAGTATCGACATACAGAAGTTTTTGTAAGTGCAACTACAGAATATTTGAAAATTGAGAATGTTGGGAACGTGCAATAGTTCTGAGCATAAGTGGGGAGTGCAGGTGGGGCAGAGTGATGGAATAAACATTTCTGTTTTGGGGCATTAGTGTCAAACTGGTAACAAACTAATCTGAAAGGAACTAGGTGTGAGGCTTGCGTTTTGCAAGTGGATGAAGAACATCTTGTCCCTTAAGGCCCTGCATCTTTGTTTTGTATAGCCATTCAGCTCTTGCTCGTTGCTGCAGTGATTGTAGCCAGCTTTACAATCCCAGGTTTAAGTTGCTTGCATATTCTTTAGACTTTGGACAAACTACCTTTTCAAGAAGTATTGATTGTTCCCATGTGGATGGGGTCAAAGTTTTTTGGAAAATTTTTAAAACTTGTTGGAATTTGTATCCTTTACAGAAATGTAAAGGTCGAAAACCCTGGCCATAGTAACAGCTTAACCAGAGCATTGCATTCATTTTGTTATTGCAGTTTAGCGTTCAGTGCCTGGCAGTAAATCTGCTTGACCTATGGCAGTGCATTTGAAACTGCAGTGTGGGGACTCTAATACTTGAATTTTCATATACAAGGGACACTGTGAGGTTGTCAGATTTTGTCTCAGTTATTTGATTCGCTGGAATGATGTTCCTGGTGATGAATGTTCTGAAGCTAGTCTACCAATAACAGATATCTTTCCTTTGGGCAGCTCAGGTCTATTGACAGGCCAGATGGGGAAGTGGTGGTGGGATGGGGATGTTAGATGTGTGCCAGTGGCCTTGAAATAGGAGCATTTAAAACCTCTGAAGTAATGGATGAGTGTTTGCTCTGCTCTGTGGTCTTTTACACACATTTTGTTCTGCTTTCCTGCTATTGTGATTAGCCATCTATTGCATGTTTCAAATACTGTGCAGGACTGGACCATTCTACTTCCACAGCTGTGAAACTTCACCTGTAGTACCTGAGAAGGAAAATTTATGAAGGACACAGGGATTCAGCTTTGGAAAAGGATGGGGAGTAGTTCAGGCACCCATGCCTGTCGAACTTTTTCCCATGCTGCACAGTTTCAAAACTCATTATTACAAACCTGATGTGAGCTTTGATCTGCCAGTTGTGTGTGGGTTTGTAGCAATGAGGCTTGACCATTGCATATGCCACACCCAGCAAACACTGGAGCAGTCCCTGAGAGTGATTTGCTGAGTGTTGTCTGTTCGGCTTTTGTTAGGCGGTGAGAGCTTTTGGGAAATTGGATTTGGTTTCTTTGAATTTGTGCTGGATAAACAATGAATGAGGTGGCTGGGGAGTAATCAGGGACAACCCAAAC